GGAAGAGAACAGGCAGACGGTGTGCATTGTTAGCATGAAGGGCATTCTATCTATTCCTCTCTGTCAGGGACATCAGCAGCTGTAGAAACGCTCTGCACACATTTAGATTGATTCTGCTTCAATGGCAGTTGATTAGATTTCACTTAGCTTTTATTTTCTTTGGCCTCTGGTAATAGCAGAGCCATTCCAAAAAAAAAAAAACTTTGGATGAATTAGCTTTTGTAAAATCAGTTTATTTGTGCAGACAAACACTGCAACACAGGAACTGAAAGCAACCAAAAGAAGAGGTACATTGGCAGAAGTCAAAGTTTCCGCTACTTCATTATCAGTTATTGCCAAATTACCTCAGAATGCGACTGTCGCAATTCTTCCCCTTGTGGAATTTTAATACACAATTAATTTGTTTGTGAAGTTGATGTTTTATCCAAACAGACCTGTGATGTTTCTCTTTTCGTCTCCAGTACAGAAATGGGACAGAAAGAGCATTTTTCCTCCTCTTATTGACCATGGTGGAATGAATTAATAATAAATTAATAGCTATAGAACAAATGACCGCCAATACGTTTGCCTAAGGCTGCATTGTTAAACAGCCTAAATATTGATAAAGTTAGACTACAGAAGTAGCAAGTAGTGTGTTCTCGTATAAAAGAAAAGACAAATTTTTTGACAACTCTCACCTCGCGCACATAATTATGATCAGAATACATCACATTCTGATTCACATATTGTGTAGTTACAAAGGTTGAAATATTTCAACCCAAGTGGAATTATCGAATATATAAATCTGCACCTGCAGTCCACATTTGACTCATGTTTGGAAACAAATGAAATTACTTTGGGTCTTTTGTTTGTTGTAAGCAGTGAAATATGGCTCAAGTCATAGAGGCATCAATCAGATTAGCTGATTACAGTTTTGGTCATTGAGGACGATGCAAGTAACTTTTTACAGATGGTGCAATTACGATTTAGTTCTAGCTAAATGGGATCATTTGAAATTGCAGAAATAGTTGTAGAAAGCAATGGCAGCAGCGTAATTACTAATTAACCAAAGTTTGTATAGCAGACATTATTCATAATTGTTTAACATCACTGAGCATCTGCAGAACTGCTTCCACTGTCTTATTAAAGATTGTAAGAAATCCAGGTGGTCTCATGCATACATTCAAACCAGAACACATCAGATCAGTCACGTCATATACTCCATATATTCTCGCATCCACATTTGCACATTCAAGAGATAATGAAAAATAAAACTGCCTTGATATTGAGTGCTTTAGCAGTGTGTGAATTCTGAACGCTTTGACCTGTGACTTGCTGCTCAAATGCAGAAACCAGATTGAAACAAGGGGGTCAGTGCTGTTTGCTCTCTAAACTGCTGTCTTTGCGACTATGTCGGGCATGCCAAGAATTCCACAGATCATTGTGTGTGCCGATATGGCTCAAAGGTATGCAGTCACGTTAACAGAAACCTGACCTACCTGACTAATCGAAACTACACCCACGCGTTATTAAGCTCACAATGCTTGTGTGGGAAACAATGAAACGGTCTTGGAAGCTAATTCCTTCCCAGATAGGGTATGGAGATGGACAGCTTTGAATGAAATGAGTTATGTGAAGAGAAATGCCAAGGTCTTCTCTTCATTCTGCGTTCTGTGGTTGCCAGGATATGCTTAGATTTCTTTTATAGTTTAGATTTTTTTTCAGACACCACTGGCAAACAGCTTTATATGATTTCTATTTGCTGCTGCTGCCTCAAAATGCTCTATTTTTACAACATTCAGTACCTTGTGATTGGTTATTGCAGACAGCTGAGAAGACTCAAATAATACATTTTTTAATTCTTACTGTTATGCTGTACAATATGTTGCATTGCAACATTGCTTGAGTTTTTTATTAATATTTTTCTAGGATGATTTGCATCCTCAGTGTATTAATTTTTAAATTCAGAAATGCATGCATTCAAATAAATGCACGTTTCACTCTGATGTCTGAATGAAACAGATTTGTTTCCCAGTCCTAGTGGAAGTGCATTCCTGAGGGCTTTTGTGGTTCTTGTTTTATCCTCCCTGCCTGGCCCAACCCAGCTGTGGGAACAGGACTATGGGGCGTAACTTCGTGCCCAGTCCTCTCACATACTTAAGCACACGCATGCACGCACATATCTGTTCACATACAGTATACAGCATGCGCCCTCCTTTGCCACAAAAAAATAAATAAAAAAGTGACTTTAAAATGCACCTGTACACAGAAAATTCCCTGTCTTGTGCTATTTAAAGATGAACTAATTTGTTTCTTGGACCATTTGACTAACGACATGAAGTTTAACTGACTTTTCTTTGCATGTTCTCCCTGTGTCTGCGTGGGTTTACGCCGGGTGCTCCGGTTTCCTCTCACAGCCCAAAGACATGCAGGTTAGATTAATTGAACATTCTAAATTGTCCCCGGATGTGTGTGTAAAGACAAAACTTGAGTATGGATCGATTTGTGTATGGATTAACTTTTTCGTGCCATGAATATAGCCATAGATGCTGGATTGGCGTTAAGAAAGAAATAAACAAACAAAACTGACTTTTCTTAAAGTCTATGTTCTTATTAATTTCAGGTAATTATATATTCAAATATTCATGAATACTGAAAAAAATGTCTGTAGTTCATATAAAATTTAAATATCAATGAATTTCCCAGTTTTTAGGTAAATTAAATTACATTTAAAAGGGTCATATGATGTTGCTAAAAAGAAAATGAAATGTGTTTATGCGGTTTAAGGTTCAAAAAACATTATTTTCCACATACTGTACATTATTGTTTCTCCTCTATGCCCCGCCTTTCTGAAACGTGTCGATTTTTACAAAGCTCATCAGTCTGAAAAGCGAGGTGTGCTCTGATTGGCCAGCTATCCAGTCAAGTCAAGTCAAGTCACCTTTATTTATATAGCGCTATATAACAATTCAGATTGTGTCAAAACAACTGAACAGCATTAATTAGGAAAATAGTGTGTCAATAATGCAAAATGACAATAGTAAACACTCATTTTTCAGTTAAAGTCAGTTCATCATTGAATTCAGAGATCTCATCATCCAGCTCAGTTCAGTTTAAATAGTATCTTTGCAATCATTTGCAATCAAGTCAACGATCGTCGGAGAGAGCCACAGAGGCCCGATTCGTGACAGAGCCCCCCCCTGCGAGCGACTCCTGAAGCGAGGAGGAGATCGACGCCGAGGCCTTCCACGGGAGCGAGGGGCTGGTTTGCGAGGATGGGTTCTATGGAATTCAGTAGTGAG